CTTTATCAAGCTCGACAACAAAGCTTTGCCTCTTTTTTTTTTTTTTTTTTTTTTTTTTGACTGTTGTTGCTTCGTGATTGATCGGGTAAATTATTATTACTATGTTAACGTACAGATGTATACCAGACGCATGCGGATGTCGTTGAAAAGCAGTAAGCGTTAAGACTCGCACTCACCGTCGGGTAGATGGTGTATTATGGATGTCCTGGTTTCCCTCGCTAGGGAGAAACCTTAAAGTGTGTTCACCGATCGAGCTTGCGCTGAAGCAACTGAAAATGCACAAAAACTGAGTGTGAGTGAAACTGCAGCTACTGTAGCTAAGTTCTGGTAATGTGATTTCATTTTTTTTCTTTTTTTTTTATGTATAAAAAAAGACTGACATATGAAAAAAAAGGTACGAAAAAAGAAATCATCGATATCAAGACACATATATATATAATAATAGGCTGCATAAGCATGCGAGAAAAAAAAATATTATTGTGTTGAACCGTACAGGAAATTTTTTGTGAATTTTAACGTGCGTCAATTAAATAAGTATGACAATAACCAAGTACATGTATCTACAAAGTGGGTCTATTGAAAACGATATGAAAGTAAAGGCTGTGTATTAGTGAGAGAGAGTGTATTTTTTTTTTTTTTTCATTACTAAGCATCAATTAAGTTAAAATGAATTGTCTATTTCACAAGTTTAAACTAACATGTAACTTAGACATAATGTCATAGTAATAGGTAAAAAAAATATTAGGGAAGTTATGTGTCCGGGTCCTTGAATACAATACCCGTGAACTTTACTCTAATGAGACTTATCGATTACTTCTAGTGGAGTGTATGTATATGCAAAATTACACGCTGTGCAGTGATTATTCTTTCAAAGAAAATCCTTAAACCGTGTGTCAGTGGCTTAATATTTCAACCGTTACATCAATATACATGTAATAAACAAAAAAAAGCTCATCCATGTCCAACAAAGGGATCACAAAATTCCAGCAGTAGCCCCACGTGACGGTCAATATTTGAAAATCAATAACCCAACTGCCGCACTTAAACAAAATTCCAATCAGTTGTCAATAAAAAATAAAAATAAAGCTCAAGGACAAGCACGCAAGTGCCACTGTTAAATACTACAGACGTGAAAAAAAAAAACCCACGACTTTCATCACCTCGTAATGGGGGTGAAAAAAGCACAGGCACACACATTGCAAGCTCATGCGCAACCTCGTGCACTTGGTGATACATATATAATATATACATGCTGGGGTTAAAGTCTCGGGGCGTTCTAGGAGCATCGCGGCCGAGTCAAGGTTAACAGCGGTTCCGTTCGTTCATCCGCTTCACAGGGTCCACCCCCGCGATTTGGTTGATCTTCGATTCTATTATGTAAGCTATGCCGAGTAGCTGGGAAAAAAAAAAAAAAAAAAAACGTAAACAAACTCCAGCACGGAGGGAGGAAACGATCGCTCCTCGACTTTATATCGATCACCCCGACAGAACAGTACACTATACAACGTGCGTAGCCCCCGGGTTAAAAAAGGAACGAGAAAAAAAAAAAAAAAAAAAAACACTCGTGCAACTATCACGCAACATTGCAACAAGAGAAAAGAAAAACGTTTAATATGTATGTATGTATGTATGTATGTATGTATGAATTCTTTTGCCAGTATCGATAAAGGCGCAAGTAAGCAAGTACTCGAGACCCCCTTTATTATTCTCGTCCCGAGTACTTACACACCCATTATACCTGCAACCCCCTATGTCATATGCATGTAGAGTGGGTGGAAGCACAGCAGACGACGTGCCCATCACTAATACACGTCCGTTTGTTTTGTATACCTTATATGTTATGTGTATACATTTTATAGGAACGGAGAGGATAAGTAATACACAATTGTTCGAATAGCGTAGGTATTATTGGTAAGGTATGAAAAATAATGATTGAATAAAGCGTATATAAACAGCTCGCAAATGAAGCGGCAAGTGTCAAATGTCAGGGAGCACATAATGTGAGGGGAAGCAAGAGGAGAGGGAACTGGGTTAAACGATCTGTTTCGCAAAAGAGCAATGCATAGAGAAATAGGCACGCATGATACATGCCAGAAGTTTTTGTTTGCTAAATTAATGTCTCCTCGGTGTACCGACACTGGCTTGTTCATCGATATTTGCACCCATAGGTAGCCTCATCGGAGAGACGAGGGGACAAATGTACTGGAGTAGGTAGTTAGGTACGACTGTCAAAAGATGCTTTGGAATGTACAGGTAATAATAAAGAAAGGTCATAGGAACAGGGTTGTAACTCATCGTAAGCCTCTACCGTTCTGCACACGTACTACTATTATACCGACTTTGTAGTATACAAGGAAAAAGAAAAGAAATACGGTTACGAAACCTCGTCACAGGGTGTAAAAAAAAAAACAAAAAAAAAAAAGGAGTCGAAGCCTACCGTGTAACTGATGTGTTGAGCCTCGCTACGCATCCTCGTCAAGGAGGCGGTAGCCTGTAAAACTGCTGATCCTCTGCTGCTGCTGGTCAGTGCACGTAGTGGTCGTTGTAGCAGTCGTTACGACGACTCGCCGACGTCGACGACGGCGATGAGGTTCGCAGTTGCTGCTCGACGTGCACATAACCACACAAGTAATACAATAATAGACACCTTTGGCAGAGTTAGCACAACCATTGACGTAGGTATGTATGAGTACAGCGTGGGCTTGTTTATATATCTATCCGATGATCGATGCACGTCACCAGAGCATCATTATTTCACGAGGAGCTCCACCAACAGCAGCACGGCCCTTCGACTATTATAACCTCAGAATGGCCTTGACTCTTGACATGGGAAACACCATAGGGCGACGCACCAAGACGATACCTCCACCGTCTCCTTGATATAACATAACACACCTTGAGTTGGCCGAGAGAGAGAAACTGCCAGCACTCTCTCTCTCTCACTTTTTTTTTCTTCTCGTCGCGTGCAGCCAGCCGCTCGAGAGAAGACCGATGACGGAGGTGTTCAGCCAATCATCAGCACAACGCAGCACCTGCACCAGCACCGATGTATACCTTCGCTACCTCCATGCAGGTCCATACAACCAACATGTTACGCGATTTTCAATCAAGGGAGGAGAAGGAGAGGAGTTTGGAACTTTAATCAGCAGTTATAGTGGTGTGTATACACTTGTGATTTTCGGAGTCAATCGAACGCGCGTGCTCGCGCGCGCGACAGCATCAGGGCGACAGGCATCACACACGACGAGCAGACTACGCGACCACACAAGAAAATGGCGGCCGCAAAGTGCGCAGGTCTGCCAACCCGCAGGCGGGGAAAGCGCCTTGCAGCTGGTGGGAAATTCAAACTTTCTGGGGTGGAACGCACACGAGCGATGACGAGACTTGATGCATAAGCTGAGATGATTTATTTTTACTCCGGTATTTCGAGTCATGCTTGCACTGAGTAATTTATGCGTGTTTTTTGGAATGATTGTCACCGACCGCGGTTTTAGTATTTCGAACTACTTGTTGCGGTCGAACACACGATTTCCGGGAGATACAATCTTATCGTTGTCGAGTAAAGTTAATTTTTGTATGAAATGAATTATTGAACAGTACAGTCATCCATTTAATTATAAACACTAAGAGAATCATTGATTTAACTTTTTAAATGAAAAAATAAAGGAAGAATCATGTGCAGTATGGAAAAAAACGTTATCAACTTTCTTATCGTGTTCGAAATCGATGTCGAAAATGTAACCGACACTCCGTCCATTATATCTCGCTTGAGAGAGTGGTGTTGGTTAATTGCCCGTGTATCCACGGTTATTAATTAATTGCCGTGTAATCATTTTTTTTGATAAACATCAATATTAGCTGCGTAAATGTATGAGTTTACATTTATATAATTTATACACACACGTGTAGTCGTGTACCATTGTAATGCACTAATGACTAGAAATACGTTCGCCATGGCTATTTCGGAGCATCAATCCAAGCCAGGCGAGGATAATCACATCGATGAACTAATTTTCCAACGGTGACGTAGGGATGAGTGGTGTACATTTTTTTTTTTTTTTTTTTTTTTTTTATAAATGACGGCATATCATTACTGTGCGGGGAAAAAATGCCGGGCTCGTACAGGCTCGACGAATCGATGGCTGGGAAATCTGCTTGGTTATCAAATTACCTATACTACTACGGGGGTGAGGCGGTGGGTGGGGGCGGTCATAGTATATGTATATACAACTGAAATTTGCCAATATGTTTACGGGCACAAGCGCCACCGGAAATGCAAACGAGGGCGGGCGAAAGCTCGGATATGGGTTTTGTCACTTTGCCTCGGTGTTATTTTCAGTTCGGACAAACCAAAGGAGAAACAATAAACCCATCCTACAGATAAAACACAATAAAGTCATTGTAATAATCGCTACTTATTTATACAGAGATAGAAATGAAAAAAAATACACGACCGCTGACTGAACACTAGCTGCCCCCCCCCCCCGCAAGCTCTCTCGGTCAAGTGACGTATCGTAAGAGCGCGCGACGTTGGCCAACCTGTCGATCGATTTTTGTTGTCATTATTAATTTCTCCTCCTCTCCCTCTGTCCCCCCCCATCGATTCCCTTTTAATTGATGTGAAACACTTTGCATTTTTACAGGTACGTATGCATGACGATGAGAAGAGTGAAACAAGCTTGCAATCGAGTTACCCGGAGTTAAAAATACAAGTCGTACAGCCCCATCGTACAACCACGCACAGAGAGACCCCCCAGGATTCAGACGCACCACGTATTCAGCAGTTTCAGCACTATCAGTAGGGTATTTTTTTTGGAGAGGTATTTTATAGGTGCGCGAGAGAGAGCTGGTGCATGTGTGTAGGAGGAGCATAAGCAGATATCAGGAGTGAGAAAGAGAAAGAAAGAGAACAACCCAGTCCATGCGCAAACGCCAAACCATACAGTCTAGCAGTAGGCGAGGCTGCCCAGCACAGGAGGAGCTGCACGAGTGGAAGTCGTCGTGTTCCCGTTAACGAAGCGGGGGTGGAGATATAATACATACTGCTGAACCATCTATATAATATATTGCACGCGCACGCTATAGCCATTGTGTGCAACAACACGAGTAAGAGTAAGAGAGACAGATAGCACATAGCAGACAGACAGCAAGCACACACACACACACATTCATTCTACAGATTACATGTGCACACTTGACTTGACTCGTGCTGCTGATGGTGGCGGCGGCTCGAGGCTCGAGGTGTATATAGGTATACACCCATAGCACATTAGCAGCAGAAGCAGAACAGAATAGAACGGGAGAGCTTTTGGTGTGTTTTGGTGTGCAGTGTGTGCAGTGCGTGTGGACGTGGAGAACGAAGAGGTAGAAGCGACAGGGAAAAAAGAGAGGAGTGTGTGCCGAGCAGCTCTGCTGCTGTTTGTGGTGATCGTCAACATATAACACCAAATACGACGACGCCACAGGGGGGCCTCGTCGGACTAAAGATCAGATCCTATAGCCTCGAGCGTCATCGTCATCATCACCATCAGTAGTAGCAAAAGCTTGTGGTCGTGGTGGTTGTGGTGTTTGTGTTTAGTTGGTGCCTCTCAGTTAGCAGCATCAGAGAGAGAGAGAGAGAGGTGGTGTGGTGGTGGTGCAGCAGGTGATCATAGCAGGTGCAGGAAGAAGACGAACAAGAGGAAGAAGCAGTGACGGAGCTGGTGGTTGCGGAGGAGGCGAGGAGGAGGCCGCAGAGCTGGGCGAGACACGCAATGACGGATAGCAGCCAACAACAGCATCATCAGCAGCAGCAACAGCAGCAACAGCAGCAGTTCTGCTTGCGTTGGAACAACTTTCAGGCAAACATAACGAGTCAATTCGAGGCGCTGCGCGATGACGAGGACTTTGTCGACGTTACCTTCGCCTGCGACGGCAGACGCCTCCAGGCTCACAAGGTCGTACTCTCGGCGTGCAGTCCCTACTTCAAGGAGCTTTTCAAGGTTAGAAAATCTTACTTGCCGCTCTATATACTTCATACATATGCTGCTGTATAGGCTGTCTGTTGTACCCCTTGCTTCCCTCCCTCCTTTCCACGGGCCACTTGCTCCGTTTTTCATCCTATTCTTACCCCACCTCTCCTCCTTACCTATATCATGTGCTTGCCCCCATTTGGAGACACGAGGGGTGAGCGAGCTGAGCATTGCGAGCAAGCAAGAGAGAGAGAGAGAGAGAGAAAGAAAGACAGACAGAAAGAGGGTCGTTCATGAGGGCCAACCCTTTTAGTTTAGGGATGGATGTGTCGTCTCTCCCCCTCGATGCCCTCGCGCACCCGTGCAATACTCTTTTTGTGTACAGCCCCGACGCTTATTCTCCTCTCGCTCCTTCTACGCCTCGTTTCCCCCTTGGTTTTTCGCTATCTCTCTTCCTCTTTGCCATTTTTGCTTATACTTGCTCGCGATAAACTCGCTGCTGCTTTCGCTGTTCATATTTTGCTTTTGCCATGCATATGTGCATATACCTATACGTAGACATACATGTGTACAGGGGTGGTGGTATTTTGTCTGTCTGTCTGTTTGTCCATTTAGGGTCTTTTTTTCCCATCATTATTATCGCGTACGCTCCTAAAAATTATGCAATAAAATGGACTTTTTTTTCAAAACTCTTTTTCCTCCTCCTTTTTGCGATTATTAGTTTTTCACGGTTATTACAGTTGATTTTGCAAACTGGAGTGTTTTAGCTTTATGTTTTATTTTTTCATAACACGAATACATGTTTATACTTGATCAAAATCATGGATTTATGAGATTTTGGTAAAACCGTACCAGGAAAATCGAAGTACATTCGCAAATATTGATTGCAAAAACAAATATACGTTTGACATATGGTTTTTTTTTATTTCTTTAATTTTGTAATAAGAGACACGTTGTCAGATGTATACAGAAAACATGACATGTATGCATTTCAAAGTAAATTATTACTTATTATTATTATTATTATTATTATTATTATTTTTTCTGAGCCTTATTAATTCTGATATTGATTGGACACACATGGGATATTTTCAAACACACCTGTGTATGAATAATACACAGCCAAGTATCAGCAAGCGATGGTACAGGGATATAGGCAGATTAAATGTCAGGTGCAATTGTGTGCATGAAATTTTCTGTCTGGTGTCTGGCGTTGCACTAACACACACACGCACACACATACGCAATCAATGTATATTACACATCGAGTACTTTACCAAAGCAACCCTTTTGCTCATTCCGTCCTCCCTTTGGTCTCTTTCTCTCTTACTCATCAATGTTCCCCACCCCAAACTTCATTGCACCCATGATCCTCCTGCCATTCGTTATCCTACATGTTTTCCTCTCCCTCTTTTGGGTGCTCTTTTTGCATGCATCGCTCTCCCACTACCTAGCTCTGTTTCCCTCTTTTTTTTTTCCCCTGTCTATGTCTGTCTTTGTGGCATCTCTTTCTGACTTGTAAACCAGATATAGAGATATTTACTGGTGCATTTTTAGTCCTTGCTTGCGTTATTTCATGATTATCGGACTAGTATTGCTCTAGCCATATTTTTTACGTATACACTTTTTAAAATAGTTGAAAAAGTTTTACTCTTGACAATGATATTTATAAGGATATGATTATGATAAAAACGCAGTTTTTCTAAAACGTTTTGAGATTTCATTCCTTACAAACCATGTATAGGCTTACCAATGTCCTTGCAGCTGTTACTAAGAATGCTGTTTAATAGCAAACTTGAGAAGTTGAAATTCCTTTTTCGATTTCAGGCCAAGATAAATAGATATAGATATTTGAACGATTGATTGGTGTTGCTATGCTGAGTTTTTGAGGAAACAGCATACCCATATAGATTACTCTTAGAGGTGAAATTATATTTATTTATGGCTGGCAAGCTGCTGAGGTGTCTTGGCAACTTGCAGATGTTGCTGTAATTGCTTTGAATCATATCTAGGAAAATATTGAGCTTCATTTATAATGCTCACCATAGCCATAGAGTTATGTAACTCTTTATCTTTGCATGAGCACATTTTATAACTCAGGGACACTTGATATCTAATACCAAAATTAGATACACTTGTAGTAAACTCTAGTTTGTGTCAGAAGTTATTTGAATTTTAGTACTTGTGATTGATTTCTGTGCATTATTTTATTTCAGACAAATCCTTGCAATCATCCGATAATTTTCATGAGAGATGTGGAGTTTGAGCATCTACAATCTCTTTTGGAATTTATGTATGCCGGGGAAGTTAACATCTCACAAGCAGAACTTCCGACGTTTTTGCGAACTGCAGAGTCTCTCCAAATCCGCGGTCTCACTGACTCCCAGAGCAGTAACCAGCACAACGAAAAGGTAATTTTTCAAGATACTTGTTAAAAATATCGGAGCATTTACTTCAAAATATGTGTTAAAAGTAATCTTACAATCAAATTTTCAACAATCATTCTTTGTCTCAGCATTTGAGGGCGAATAATATTAGTGCCCCCAATGGACGTGGCCCTGTGTCGCCGAATTTCGATGACGAGCACAGTAAAACGCCGTCGTTAAGCCCTCCACCGTTAAAAAGGCTGTGCAAAAGAAGTGATTCACCTCAGATCTCTAGTCCAGCACCTGCTGTACCACCATGTGCCACCAGTACACCTCGCCCTCGACCGCTCATCGAACCTCAAGTCGAGCTTGATTGCTACAAGGATGTCGATTACATGCAGGTCGCATAAGATTCTATTTCATGATACGACGATTGGTAAAACCATAAACTCATGAATTCTTTTTCTGCCCCAACAGCCAAAAGTTGAACTGCCAGAGTATGGAAGTGATGAAGAATCGAAACACGATCTCAATACATTACCTGGAGGCTTCCTCAGTTTGGATGGAGGAATGGAAGTCTTACCTTCATATCCATCAACGTATGCCGGTACGAAATCATTAAAACCAAATTTATAACCTTTCAAAATTAAATTTAGCTGATGCTTCTAATGTAAAATCTAAATCGTTCTTAAAAAAAAAAAATTTCTTACCTAAAGTAGGTTGAAACTTTACAACTATAATGGTTTGTTCGAAAAATAAGATTTTGGCGAAATTTCGATTTATTATTTTTCCTTTTTTTTTTTAGGCAGTGGAATGGATGGAGGAATGCCTGGGCCGTCGCATGGAAACACAGAGCTAAATCCGGAGCAGCAAGGTGAGTAACTCATTGACATTGTTACCTTAGTAGTGCGAGCACCATTACAAACAGCAACAACCTAGCCGTTTACATCACATGTATTGAATGTGAGTAGTTGAGAGAAAGAGAGAGAGAGAGAAAGAAAGAGCAAGTGAGCGAGTGAACGAATGTTGGATGAAAAGAAACGGAACGAAAGGGAGTGAGAGGAAGAAAAAGAGTTTTAAAAAGAGAGAGAGGGAGAAGAGAAGAAAAAAGAAATACCTTGACGGTTTGAAATGGTAAGCTCGTGTGTAGATCGGTAGGTCTTGCGGTAGGCGTTAGGAAAGAGAGAAAGAGAGAGACATTTGACACTCTTGAGGCTGCTTCTACAGGCACGAGTCCGTTGCAGAGTGCAGTTTGCAGCTATAAAAAAAGCCGCTGTGAGATGAATGAAAGATTTTACTAAAGTTTGATTTTTAATTCAATGAAAAACTTTAGTTGAGAAAGTATATAATTTTTTATGTACAGAAAAATAACAAAAATATACTTCATTATATGTGTACATAATTAAGAAATCCTGGGAGCCCATTTTGCTTTAATAATTAATGTCTTTATTTTTTTCATGCTTCCAATCACGCGTGAACATGTCTCAATTAAGATTTCCTTTTCATTAAAGCACATAATAACGCATTCAAATTCAATAGCATTAATTTATTAAATTTATTAAAATGCTAACAAACGATCGCTTTTAACGTTTTTTTAACACTAGAATTTTGGCATTTTTTTCATAAAAAAAATTTTTGGTTTAAAAAAAGCTATCGTTATCATCATCTCATTTTTTGCTTTCATCATCTCAGAACTAATGTACACATTTTCCCTACTTCAAGTAGATGCATTATTCATTTGTGATAGACATCTGTTATGTCGTGTTTTAATTTCAACAAATTACCGCTTTTCTGATGACTGGCATCAATTTTATCGATTCCGCAGGTACCCATATTAAATTCGATTCAAGAAATTTTTTTCTGTTTTTTAAAGAAATCTTTTCTATATAATTTTCAGTAAAAAAATGACGAAAGAAGATTTTTTTTATTTCAAATCATTTTGTATCGTGCTTGTGTAAATTAATTTGAAATTCGGATGAATTGGCTTACTTAACTACAGAAGAAAACCGTCTCATCGCCGTTTTTTATTGTTTCTAAGATATGGACAGGTGGATGAAAAATGTATAGTACTTTGTATTTTTGATCTAAAGACAAATATATTAACAAAATCATGAAAAATTTGAAATAAACAGTTTAAAAACACTCGTTGCACCTGCCTATATCCTTGAGGGAGAGTCAAAACTAAGGTCACCTTTTTGTTGACATCTTTTTGTATTGTCGATTCGAGCATTTACTCGTTTGTACAGTTTTCAATAATATTATTCGCGAAAATATGTTCATCTTTTTATGAAATTGCAATAAACAATCTCGTCTTTCAATATTCTTTAGTTTATGTTGCATTAATTCGAGTAAAAAGATTCAATAATAATTTTGAACACAACAAAAATAATTCAATAAAATACAAACGGAAATAAAATAGTGACCTCAATCGACTGTAGCTCAAACGTTCCCTCGAACGGAGAGAAATTTCACGCATGTTAATGGAATAATTAAAAAATTGATATTTCTCTCCGGGAAGAAAAAAAAACAAAAAATGAAAATTGACGAGAGAACGCGAGTTGGTTGAGCTGGCAGGCAGCAAGCGCAATGACTGGGTGTAGTGCTAATAGGGAGATCGTTCGCTGGTTGTTGCTGTCCTGTGGTGGGTGGTTAATTATTCTCATTATCTCATACTTTTTTTCTTATCTGTTTTTTGTTTTTGTTTTTGTCTTTTCATTATTTTGTTGTTGTTTGTTTCTTTAATTGCTGTTGTCTCATTGTAACGTCTCGCGTGCATATAACAAAAATAACAATGAAGCTTTCAATATCGAAATTTTCAAAATTTCTTTTTCAAAATTACCAAGTATATTACAGTTTACTAATAAAACGCGTTTCATTTGTTACTGCTATAACTGTTACAAATAAGTATATTAAATTTATTTCTTTATGTATATATATTTATGTATATATGTTCATTACCGATTTTTGTATCATTATTTTGTTAATTGAAGTAAATTGAAATTAAAAAAAAAAAAAAAAAAAAAAAAAAAAAAAAAAAAAAAAAAAAAAA